CACAGGCCTATGGCAACCCGCGGTAAACAATGGGTAATCACGCGGGCAGCGCATGTTCCAGCCGTACCGTGCTCGCTATCGCTACAGTATTTTTTGGGAAAATCCCCAGTTGTGAAATTCGTGGCGCGGCAATCTGACGTGACGGCAATCTTGATGCATTATTTCAGGATTAATTGAAAGCGAGTCAGCCTTGTTTAAATTATAGTTAAGGCTTCAGGCTGAAGTTCAGCTGTCGAGTGTTTGTTTTGAACGCTGGACGTCAGAGAAATAACTGAACTGCTAACTAAAGCTGGTAAGAACTTCACGTAGAATAACCTTTTAACGTTTTCCACAAAATGACATTCAGACGTCAATAGCTTTAATCATCTTCAAGCCAGAACTCAACCTGTACACTTATCTTGTTTTCGTCTGTTTCCTCGTTTTAGTTGTTTATGATCTAACCTCCCCGAACATGTTCGTAATGCCATCATCTTGCAGCCCTTCTCAACTTTTTTAACGTTGCTAAAAAGAGTGTTTTCTATCCGAATTAATCAACTGTAGCATACTGCCTACACATGTATCTCTTTAGGCTAGAATTCATACATTTTTTTCTAAGCATCGAGGTATCGCCATAACTAATAAAATTTTAGTTTCTTCACAGTTAATCATGGTTCTCTCTCTCCCCCCTCATTTTTTATTTTACTTGTACATACATACTCATTTATCTCATGTCGTGTTATGTTATATGTATGCTTAATTTATTGTTATAATTTGTTAATTTTTAAACTGGGAAGTACATGTATCATCTATTTGTTATAGTTAGTTATTGTTTTGTTATGTATGTCTTTTGTCTTAGATATTGTTTGTACATCCTACATGCAGCTAGCTGCCAGTCAGTATGGAGCTATCAAAAGATCAGGAGAAGCTGGCAGCAAACGCTATTGAGGAACTATTCACCACCATTTGTAGAAAAACCAGCACCACAGAACTGAACAAGTTAAAAGATTCCATACGGAAAAAAAACCTGTGGACGTCCCTTGGTATTAATGATGAGGAATTAGATCAAGCAAAAACAATGCAAAAGTTTCTGAACTTACTGGCAAGGAATTCCCATCTTGCTCACAACCCTGTGCTACTAAACTTATCAATGTGTATGCAGGAGCTCTCTCGGGAAGACTTAATTTCCCCTATTGAGGTCGCTGATGAAATATTAAAAGACATACATGGTAAGTACCTTTTCTTTAAGCCTCAGGCTTATATGTTAAGGTTGCAGGATCAGTTCCTCCTGGCCTTGCCATAACACTGTATCGTAAATCAGGTTTTTGTCTAAGCATTCTTCCAAATTCATAACATCCAATGTATCTATAATGGGAGCCCTGGTGAATATTACACTGGATTTTGTGGCAGTGTGCACTGCACTAATGCCAGCTTTGGCTACTGTATTGATTGAGTACTAAATTAAAGAATGTAGGAAGTTTTAACGGTGATACCTTGTATGCCGTTGTACTCAGTAGGGTTAGGTTCGAAGACTGTATTTTATGCATCGTCTTTGAGATAAAATTTCAAGACTAACATTCTCATAAGTTTGTACATAAATCTATGTAAATCCTTTACTTTCTACAGTAGGTCCAAGAGTACAGATACAGCTTGCAAAAAAAATTTCCTTTCAATACTTTTCAGATTTTGTTTTGCTTGGGGAAGGGGGGGGATGACCTTCATTGCCTCCCCCCCGTTGAATCTGCCATAGACCACAAATTTTCTCAAAACGGTATGATAAGATGTAGTTGCTTTCTTTGTTTAGTTGTATTTTTAATTTATGATAGTGGTGGGTCTTATTTGTTGTTATTTTGTACAAGCTTTGTTTATCCATGTACCGGAAGAAATAAGAGGGCAACAAGAGCGAGCAGCATACAGAAAAGCATTAAAGGAGGGCAACAAGGAAGTACATCGAACAAGATTGATGATTGTTGGGCAAGAACGAGTTGGGAAGACTAGCCTCAAGAGGAGTCTGACACATCAAAGGTTTCTGTGACCCACAGTTGGTGATTTCAATGCTTCAGTGTAGATTTAATTTCATTGTTTAATTGTTTACTATTTTTGAATTGTATTAAAATAATAAACAAGGATTAGCCTTAGTATAGGCTTGAAGTGATTCAACTTGTAACTGCCTCCATAAAAGATTGTCATAATGATCCAAACCAGTCACAATATGTGGAGAAATGTTCCTGTCTTTGTTGCAGTTTCAATGCGGAAGAATCATCGACTGAGGGGATTAGTGCATCATCCTTCTGCAAAATAGACATCAAACATGCAACATCCTGGCAACTGCATGAAGAAGGAGGTAAGGAAAAACAATGATAGGATTTCATTTTCCAATGAATGATTTTCAAATGCGATATGCATATACTGTGACAAAACAATGTGGCATATTTTATAAATGTAGCCAGATATAACCTTTCAAAAGCTATTTTCCGATGACGGCTTTTGTTCCACAGCAATGCATACACACGAGTAGGCCTTTTGCTCTATCCCTCCATAACAAAAGCAGTTATTAGAAAGATGGCTGCCACGCACAACCTGGATGTGTAATGTTCAAGTACTTGCACGTCTTTCCGCTTCCTTTATGTTTTGTCTTGTGAAAAGCTAGCTGTGGATCCCACATCATTACATGTAATACACGATCCCAACCATGCTTCACGAATTTATTTGCTGAATGCAGTTAACATATATAACATTACAAGTATTAACTGAAAAATTAACCCATGAAATTTGATCTTTTGTATTATTTAAAGTGTTTTTGACTTAAAAAATTTTTCTACTTTGTTTCCTAAATGCTGACAGACGATTCAACCAGTTTCAGACGTGAATATGAAGAAAGTTTGAAAAACGAAGCAAAGTACAACTATCAGAATTTCATCATGGAGAATGTACCTGTGTGCATCAGCTGTGCCAACGTGACATGTACTTCACAAATGCAAAATGTAGATCAAGGCTGTTCTAAACTTTTCTCAAGGAAACTTGTGACCATGTGACATGACCCCCTTGTTCATGAATTTCAATTTACTTGTTTTGTTTTGAGGAACTAGTTGTCTTTATTTGTAGACAAAATGTATATGTGCATGTATATGTGTAGAAATTTCGATAAGGTTCATCATCAATCTTGTTTTCTGAGATAAAATGAATCAGCTTTATTTTCAGAGTAATCCTTCCAACATGTGTGATGTCTTGACTGCTGTTTACGTTCATAACCAAATTTTCATAAAATTATAGTGCTTTGTTTTTTGAAAAGTGGCTCAATATTATTGTTTCATTTTTTTTGAGGACGGAGTTGGACATTCAAAGACATGACGGCTTTGCCGTTCTAGTTTACTCATGTTATCAGCTAAAATGATTTTAAAACTATAAATACATGGAAGCAATTTTTGCCGCCGCCATTCAAATCTATTAAGCAGCATCTATTAGGCTAATCTGGGATTAAGTTGGGGATTTTTTTTGGGGGGGAGTACTAATCAGTTTAAAAAATATAAACAATAGCTGGAGGAGGGGGTCCATATTTCTTTTTCTTTTGCTTTTTTACCCTTTTTTATTTTTCAGTGTTTCCTGTTTGAAACGCTCATGATCAGTGATTTAGTCTCAAGTCATGCATTTAAGACTGGCTTAGGAGAATAGATGTGACTAATGCTGAGCCTCAAGCAAGGGCATTAGCAGCCTTCGTTCTCATGAGCAAGGTTTTATTTTAAAACTTTAATTTCATTTTTTAAAACACCCCTGTCCATTTGATGGTATATTCCTTTTGAAAGTTTTGAAAAGAATCCCTTTCAATGAACTTGGCGCGTGGGTGGCGTGTCGCGTGCACATAGACTCCTGACTAATCAGACCAATTAAACTGTCTCTTATCCATGAGTTATGCAGCAGGCGTTATCACTTCTCAGCAGGCATTATCAAATGTTAATACATGGTCACATGATGCACATCGACCAATAGGAATAGAAAACTGTCCCAGGTATTTGTAAATAGTCGTTAAAGTGACTGACCCCTTTTTTCCAGATGCCTCCAGGTCCACGTGTAACACCTGTATATGCAGTACACCAAGCATCCCTACCTGCAGCAGGTAAGAGCACAAACAATGTATAAAACAAAAGGTTTAAAAAACAAACAATAAAAAAATATTCAAAACTGTCTTTTTATTTCCTTAAATTTGAATGTGATCATACATGGCCATCATCAGGAAGGGGAAGTTCTCTTTTTAGGGGGGTCAGTTTTCTTCCCCTCTTCTCCTTTTTCTTTAATTTCTATTTGTCGTAATTCTTACGAATGATATGTATGGTGTGCAAGGAATTAATCACCTCCATGGAATGATGTTGCTACCAATAACTTGATTGCTTTTAGCTTGGCACTACTGGCACCCGTCAGATTTAGTTATATTCCTACATTTGATGCTCTGTGATAAAGGATGATGTTTTTAAAGCATTACCATTCAGCATTTGTGTGTTCAACTTTTTTGTAGCTTCCTCGTTTCCACCCCAGAAATCTATCACACAAGTAGACATCGAAACCAGGAGATCTCCAAGTAATGAACCAACCCACCAACTAGAAGTGGGAAAGAGGCAAATCTCTGGTGCAGGGGAGCCAATTGTTCTCAGCCTTTGGGACTTTGCTGGTCAAAATTTGTACTATACTTTACACAAGGTCAGTTGACACAATTATGTTTCATGAAGTATTAAGTACATGTGGCTTGCACACACATCAAGTTGAGGGTAGTGTGGACTACTTTCGGCTATCCAAAAATAACATCCAATCGACTGACTGTGCCCACTAAATCATGTTACCTATGGTGGGTATCAACCCCATATTAACACATGTTTTAAGTGTTGTTTACAGCCAATTTGTGGTATAGTGCCCAGCACATCAGTAGTCGGAGTATGGTACCTACTTTCAGCTTTTGGGGGGGGGGGTAAACGCTTTGCTTTTGGTGGACGCCATTTTTGTTGATATTTAATACCCACTACAGGTCACATGACTTAGAGGGCGCAGTTGGTCTATTGTTACAATTTAGACTTGGTTAAAAGACAGTATTGACACTAAACTCCCTGTGAAGTTATTCTGTCTGGCATCAAATCATTTTGATGAAACTGATGGAAAGGTGTCATTTCAAGGTTGTGTCAACAGTTCTTAAAAATTCAAATAAATTTTAGGAGATGTGTTTTGTTAACTGTAATGATCCTGGTGACTTGAGGCATAACACACACACAGCCTGCAATCTGATTTGTGAGTGTATTGCAAAAGAGTAAATGGAACTTCTGATTGAGTTTTAAGACCAAGAAGAGTTGTGTGTTATCTTCAAAGAGCCAAAGTTTGAAGAAGTTGTTAACGTAGCCAAAGACTATATGCAAAAATGTTTGTGAGCTGCATGTGGACATTTAAGTTTGCAGGAAAAAGATTGCATTAAGTGACTGTTTCTCGATTTATATTGCCAAACTGTATACTAGTAGACTTGGCTGTAGACTGGGCCGTACAGAGATCACATTCACTTGTCCTTTTTTGGCGGTTGTGAGCACAAGCATGAAATTTCCTTAGTAGATTTGATTTAAAAGTATTTGAAATTCACTCATTATGAAAACAAAACTTAGTTATATTGTTCCCTTGTGCCTGATCTTAAAAAGTGTACTTTTTCAAAGTTAGTACGTTATGCTAACAGGTTTATTGATGCTCAAAATATAAAAGACTGCAATCAGGCACACATTTCCAACACCCTGGTTCGGTGAATTTTTTTATTTTTTGTGCAGAGACTAGTTTCATTTTTGTACATGCATGCATATAATAGGTACCTGCATGTGTTAGCTTACTTATCATTGTGTGTTGTTTTGGTTTTTAGATATTTTGGTGTTTTTCCCCTTATTTCATTTGAGGTATAGTTAGAAACTTTGCAGTCATTTGCATTTTTGATCAGTTTAGTTCTTTTTGGTTTGTTGTATTGCAGACATTCCTGTCTTCTCGAGCCATATATGTGGTCGTGTTCAACCTTTGTCAAGACCTTGACAAACCAATACAAACTAATGGAAGACCTGATGATGTAAGAGTATGTTAAATGACGACCTCCATGACACAAATGAATTCTTCTTTGATTTCTTTCAAGAATGTGTATGACTTTACTGGTGCCATTCTTTGTGATATTTCATAGCATTCCTTGTATGGAAGGTGATACTTCTTGCCGTTATCTCCCCTTATTACTAGTTTTATTGACAAGAGATTGTTCGTGAATTTGTCCGAAATGTTTCTTTGTCCAATCACATAGAAAGTACAAGTTTGCATTGTCCTGCCTCCTGAATTGGAATATGATTTCTTGTTTCTTGGAAGATTAGCGAAAAGAATTCAGATCTTGAACTCGTAACCTTGATCATCCTCGCATAGTAATGCCTTGCTTTCACATTAAGAGTCGCTTTTTTTTTTTAATTGGCATTGTAGAGAGTCATTTTGTCATTCACTTACAGCAAGGGGACAGCTGTCACAGCAATAGGATGACTCCCATGCAGTATCTTGATTTCTGGATGCATTCAATTTTCACATACACGAAAGAAAATCCCTCAAAAGAAAGATCAGAGCAGAAATCCCCTCCCATCTTCATTGTTGGTACTCACCGAAATAGCGTTGGAGGAGATGACTTGCCAGACAGTGAACGCAAACAGTTGGTACGTCCTTTCCTGATATCTGTCGGGCAAGAATTGAGATGGCGTATCTGTAGAATATTTTTAAATTTCATTAGCCTTGATGAAGGCTTGTTGGCTGTCTCCAACTGAAATAATTGCAAGTCAACCATCCCAAAAGGTTTTTTATGATAGAGCCTTTTAACACTTTGGCAAACATTGGCCAAGTTTTTGATTCCTCAGCCTCACATTCAGCCCTATGTCCTGTCACACATGCTTGGTGCAGACTGAGCTTTTTGACACTAGCGAGTCAAATTCAACTCAGAGATGAATGTTAATCTAGGGCAATTTCCATCCTTTTTCTGAATTTTTTATGAACCAAGGCAGGTAATAATTTGTTTTATCATCATTTAAATGAGCTGGTCTGCTTTTAGCACAATTTCTAGTAGTGTTGAGTTTGAATTGCTAAACCACAAATTATGATAAACATATGTCCTTGTTCTTTATGTTGTTTTTTTGAGAGACACCTTTCCACCTCGTATCCCTGTTTTAACTTTTAAAACACAGATAGAAAGGATATTTACTCGAATAAGAATAGAGATCAGCAGCAAACCTTATGCCAGGTTTGTAGTGCAAGAGTTTTATGCCATAGAGAACACCCTGGAAACCAACAACACCAAGGTATGTTTCTAAACACACTTAACCACACCTTATTGGATGGCATTGAAATAAGCCATTTAAAACTTTCTGTTTGGCTGGACAATTGTTTTTCTTTGCTTGCAGCATCAGTGTTGACATTTAGAGGCCTTCATGTGAGAAAAGAAATAAATGGGGAAACTGTTATAGATTCAATCAGGTTTGAATGCATTGGTCAACAGATTTGTGAACTGAGAAAACATATAGAGAACATCGCAGGGAAAGAGCCCTACATGGGACAGCTAATTCCATTGCGATGGTTGCAGTTTGATGACAGAAAACTGAAGGAAGTAGCCAAGAGTGGCGGAATTCCTGTTTTAACTCTGCAGCAGGTAATCTCAACATCTTATAGCTGTGCAAAATCTCAAGGGGCATTCACAGGATAGTGGTTGTGGAAGGCACAAGATCTTCGAACAATCCTTAATCCTCAAAGTGTTGAAAGATTTTTGGCTTTGAGAATCACTGAGCAATGGTGTACTCGGCCAGAGATGGGGGGAAGGTATCCCCCAACAGCACAGCTTTAACCATGTTTGAAGGAAATGTAAGTGTTTGTAATTAGTGTTAACCCCCCCCCTAATCTAAATCTAGGATACACCAAAGAGGTTCCAAGCCTGCTGGAATGCAATTGATGTATTGTAATGTCTGGTATTTGCAAATGTAAAATGTGGCATCAGATGTTCCTATGTCATTTTTATGACTTGTGCATTTGTGTTGACTATTCTAAGTTTGTGGGTATCAGATTTATGCAATAACCTTCACTGTCTTGACATTAGGTGAAGGATGACTTTGGTTTAGAAGATGAAACCGAACTTCTGACGATGCTGAAGTTCTACCATGATCTCGGCCACATTGTCTACTTTGGAGGTGATGGTGATCAGAAGAGTCAAGCCTTGAAGGATGTAGTCATTCTGGATCCTCAGTGGCTGATTGATGCATTAAAGAAGGTCATCACTATCACACCTCCAAGAAAACAGGTAAGCACTACACTGGGTAAATGTGAATTAGACAATTAGTTGCTTTCTTGGCATGTCTTCCTTTTTTTTAATTTTCGTATTGGTATGAGTTCAGAAGAAATTAAGTGGCATTGTTCCCTATGAACAATACACAAGCGCTAATCTCCAGGCATAGATTAATTTAATTCAAACATTTTCACTTACATGAAGGTTTTCACAAACATTAATTGATCAGAATTAACACTGGTCTCCTCATATAATGCGTAATGTGCCAAAGAGATGTACAATTTGCTGTCTATTGAACGGGTACATCAGAGCATGAAATTACGGTTGGACATCTGCCATTTTCAGACTATATGTACTTCTATTATTTGACCAAACAAAACCAGATGAGGAAGGACAAAACATCCAAAGTAAATGTAAAAAATAAAGACCAAAAGCAAAGTTTTGTTTAGTTTTACTCTGGTGTATGTGCTGATGACATTTAAACTATGAGATTAGGTTCTCATGTGACTTTGGTATGTGTATGATTACAAGCTGATAATGGCAGAACAAAATTGATTGTGCTGACATTTATTTTGCCAGACAAATTTTTGGCCTAATGACATGAAGTGCCCATGGTGAAGGTTGCAACAGTCAGGCCTTGGAACAGATCTTTCCTACCCCCACTGCTTAAGTTTTGAACGTGTTGGATAAACTGTACAAGGAGTAGAATAGAACCTCTGCAGCAAATTGTCAATTTATTAGAAATAAACACTGCTAATGGACCTGAGTTAGACAGCCACTGAGTGCCTGAGCTTTCTGATTGTGAAGACCACAGTTTTCAGACACTTTTATCCGCATTACGTTAAAAAAACGATTTCTCTTCCTCAAAGATGGCCGACCATGTCCAATCGTGGAATAATTTGAAGGACAGTGGCATATTGGAGAATAAGCTGATTGATTACATGTGGCGAGATATTCTTTCACACAAGAAGGCTCTTCTAGATCTGATGGACAAGTTTGACCTACTTTGTGAGCGTACTGATCAGGTATGTCTTGTTTTGTAGAGTCAAGAAATAAAAGAAGTAGACAGATTGTGTCAATGTAAAGATCAAGAACTGATTACAAATGTGGACCTTGTATTCATATTGTAAAGATTGTGAACAGCTGTTCTCATCATTAGTCTCTTGACTAATCAAGTCCTTTCCTAAGTCAGAAACTAGAATCATAACGACAAAAATTGTATACAGAAATATATATATGATGGCTCAAACTACTGTTCAGTAGGACTGTTTGGGTGTTTGACTGCAAATGTAAGTAACACCTTTTGATAGCTTATATATATTGAATATGAATCTGTTGTGTTAAAGTTTGATATCAATGAGCAGTCTGAATCAAGTCTGATTGGGAAATGTTTATAATATTTTGGTAATGATTATCTCATTTTGAAAACTCAATTTTATCAAGTAGTATGGAAAAACAGAATAGGACATCATGCTTATTTTCAACCAAACATAATTCAAAAAGAGAAAATTATGGGAAATATATTGTGACCGACATTTGTAAGTAATTATATTTCAAATTTTTGTGAAGCCCCAGGAGGAAGCCTGCAGCAGTCCTGCAGCATCTACTGTTTCATCCATCAAGTTCCAGCGACAGCATTCACATGCTAGCCCTGAGGATATGGTGTCCTACTATGTGCCTTCAATGCTGCGGAGACAGACATCACACAGCAGTCAGCCGGAGTCAGCAAAGCAGAAGAATGCAAGTGTGTTTTGCGTGGACTTCCATGGATTCCTTCCAGGTGAAGAAGCTTTTTAGACAATTTGCCTTGCTTTACCATTCTTCAGTTGAAAATGGTTCTGAAATTGTTTGGACAGATGTGATGAAAACAAGATGTCTGATATAATTCTTTTGTTATTCCGTCATCTAATGGAACAGTAGCCTTTTTCGAGCAGTGAAATTCGTTGATTTCCTCTGTTCCTGTCAAAAAAAATCATGACATTCTTGCATTCGGAGTTTTCCCAAGAATTTGAAACACATAAAGGTGAAGCCAGAAATGAATTAAAGGCCATCCTGAATTGCTTTCTACATGTTTTAAAAGTCAGATTCAAGAGCTTAAATTTGGTTCATGGTGTGATTTTATTCAGTCACAGCAAGTCTTTTTAGACAATTTGCCTTGCTTTACTATTCTTCAGTTGAAAATGGTTCTTAATTTGGACAAAGTCAACTTTGGTAGATTTATGCATCATGTTGTCTAACAGTTTTAATGTTTGGGAAAAGTTTTATGTCAGATTAAAACTGAAGGATTTACACAAAAGAACAAAATCATAACCCAAAACTTCTGATTCTTTTTTTCTAGATGGATTATTTCATCGCTTAGTTGTGCGAGCACTGCGATGGTCACAAACCTTAGGTGGAACACATCCTAGTCTGAAGTATGATCAAGCCAGCTTCTTTGTAAATGACCAGCATGAGTTTGTACTCCAGTTGGTACGAAAGAAGGATCTTGCTTATCTCAAAGTAAGTGTCCAACAGTTGCTGTAAAGCTAGGTTTACACTATGTTTCCGGCGGCTATGGCAATCACGTTTCTGGCCACCGTGGACAAAATGGTATGGATATGAGACAATGCGGGGAAACAGGATGGGCAAATGTGACAGTCTGTGATTGCTGTGGATGCTGGCCAGATTTTTAAACTGTCAAAATTTTGCTACAGCATTCAAGGTGCAGATGAGAAACTTAGTAGGCCTTAGTAAAATGGGGTGAACACAACAAAATGTGACAGCACATGATAGCCCGTAACCAAACTTGGAGACAGTCCGTAGTGGGATAGGAATCATGTGCCTCCCCAGGCATCTAACAGTCCTTTCAAGTTTTGCCCATTTTGCCACATTTTGTGACTGTTCTCACGCCAAGCTAGAGTGTACTGTAGCCATTTCGTTGTGTTAAATCATGGCACGTCCAGATGTGACCATTTACCTACCCGGTGCAATACAGCGCATTGCGTTCTACTACAGTTTTACATGCCGAGCATGGCCGGGGGGGGTGTATAAAAGCCGGGCTAGGCAGGACAACTTCATGCAACATGATAAAAAACAACTTTTGAGAAATCAACGGAAGGCAACTTCAATAGCTCTGTCTATCACCTTTAGAAATCTGCGGACTTTACAATAGCTCATTACGTAATCTGAACATGATTTACTTGTGTATGGGCAGTACAATAGACCATGAAACTTAGCAGGACCTAACAAAACTTGACTACGGAGAAAAAATTGCCAAAATCCCACGGCGCACTACGTTTCGGGCAAACATCATTGGCATGGCTGCCGGGAACATAGTGTAAACCCAGCTTCAGTGAAAAAAAGACTCGTGCCATTGTGGCTAATTGACAATGCATTCTGAATTGAATACTGAGGGAATTGTTGTTTGGTTTCTTGTAAATGGACGGTGCTGGCATATGAAGACCGCTGGAATGTTACCCTTGGGTTCTACCAAATGTAATAGAACCTTACATTGGCGGTCAACCCTTTCAGCTTTATATGTTATGCCCAGAAGCATACCAAGACACAATCAACTCATCAGCAACAAGATTCACAGTTTCTTTGTACTGCATTTTTATAGGTGACTGTCAAGCGTGCACAGTTCGTTCAAACAAGGCGAAAAAGACGCCCAAAAGAGGAGAAGATACATGTCAAGAAATCCCCTTCTTCCGATGTCACATGCAAGGTACTTTGCAGGATAACAAAATGAAGTAGGGATAACCTTGCTGAAGAGTTTCACGCTTTGTTTGAATTATCAGTGGTCAGGGTTAAATCCTTTTGCATCAACATTCCCATCAGGACAGTTGGGACATTAATGGAGGGGACTTTAAACTTACCGGTAAGCTGCAAAGTTTTGTACTTTTTATGTAGTTGTCATTTTTTTAGTTTTAGTCACCTTGATTTATTTCCTGTAGTGGAGTTTTTGTGCATTTAGGAGTTCAAATTACAGTGAAAATGAACTTATAAACAAAACTGTTTTCTTTGAATTGAAACAGGTACACAGATTTGTTGAAGAGAATCTTCAGAACTTGAAGGACATGTGGATAAAGAGAATTGATTACTGCATCAGTGTCTTATGTTTGAACAACAAGCATAAAATGCCTCACCTACTACCACTGGATGAATGCTTAAAGAAACCACAGGTTGTCTGCAGGTTGGGCAGTTCCCAGATGGTCTTTGACACTTACAAGTTCCAAGCCATGTTTAAACAGGAAAGCTCTGAAGAAGAACCTTCAGCACTTGGTAAGTTCTTTGTGATGGGCTGCTGTGCTAATGAAAAGGCAGCTTGGCTTTTCCCTTGACATTTTGTCCAGTAGCAATGATAAATTGGTTCAAGATTGGCAGATGAACATTTCTCCAATGCTCCAGTCGCTGTTACTGTACTTTCTCTGATCATGGCTGTAAGATGTTGGTACCATATGCTTAGGATGATGTTGCAATACATGCTGCTTGACATGCCTTTCTTGCTGCTACTGCTTTGAATTTTCATGTTATAACAGAAAAGCAGTGTGTTTACTCAACCCTAGAGCTGTCCTACCTGTTATGTAATTTGCTGGCACTTCAGCTTGCTGGTGTCTTTCTGACTTTTGCATTAACTGCTTATGAAGCATGTTGGAGCTTTTGATGCTGTCTTGCTGTAGGTCATAATGCTGCAAAAGTCTGCATGATTTGTGGATGGTGCTGTGACACCATATGCAACAGCGCCAGCATGGAAAGAACAATGCTAGCATGCATTGTTAGCTTATGATACAGAATGGCAAAATTTCATCTGAATGTGTACAAAACCTGAGTGTTTTTGTGTGAGCACTACACATATTGTGGCAATAGCAATCTTCATATATTCTCCTGTTTTTCACTGGCAAGGGCTTGTTTGATTTGTTTGATGTTTGTTTGATGCACCTGGCCGGGTTTCTAGCCAGAGTAGGCTGGGAGTTAGGTTTAATGGTTAGCATTTATTCTCATTTAGTTATGGCCCACCTTGTGTCTTGCACCAGACTTTTCTAGACACTGCTCATTATCTTTATTTACTTTTTGTATGTCTACTGCTAATATTCATGTGTTTTTTTCTTCCTGTTTGAATTAATGGTTGCAATGTGAGATTATTTTGCCCCCTCAGAAAAGAGACAACCTATGAGTGATGTCCATTTCCGAGAGATCGCAAAGAAGCTTGGTCCAGAGTGGGAAGAATTGGCAACGTACCTGAATTTCTCAAAAGAGGACATTTACAGGTTTAGGAGTGAGTCAAGTAATATTGATGGTCAGATATTCAGCATGCTTGTAAAAAGGAGACAAAATCGTGGAGGGAAAGTGGAAAAGATGCGAAAAGAGATAGTGGATGCACTCAGAAAGATGGGCAAAAATGAGCTTGCTGATGAAGTGCAGAATTACTGAAACCAAACAGTTTACTTGTTGGGGCTCGTCTTTCTTCTAAACAGACTTTTGGGTCTCTGTTTGTTTGGGGGGGTCATTAGAGCTTGTAAACTTTTGTTACGTGTTAGTTGGACCAAAATAAATAGTTGCAAAGTACAGACACTGTTATATTTCATACATTGTTGATTAAGTAAAAATATTACTTGTATTCCTCATAGATAACTTGCGTTGAAGTTGTAACAATTTGTTTCAAGAATCATCCTAGTTTTGAGTGCACTTCTGCCTAATATCAAACAATCAAAAGATGTGGCACTGTTGAAGTCACTGTTTGATAACAAATTGAAAAATACAAATTGTTGTAAAGGCATGATGCCTTTTTATTGATGGTTTCGTAGGTGGTTTGTACAGTACTTGGCAAGATTTATAGTTGAATACACACACAAACAATAAAACTTGCCTTTCCGTGAAGCTTTCTAAGAATGTTCTCCACGTGAATATGACTGCTTGCCTCTTGCATTTGGGGTCTTTTCAAACCAGTACTCAGTTATGTTATTGGGGCACCTATGACTTCTGTTTCTGAATTGTTTTTATTTTTTCGAAGAGAAATATTTTCCTTTTGTTTTGTATTTCGCTCTCAAAATAGTTATTTAATTTAATGAGATTTTGATTAAAATTGCCCCATCCATGTGATTCGGTTCACCTCCATTTGGGTACCACTTCTTCCCTTTTGCAAGGTTGTGAGAATTCAGCTTTTCAGCTGATTTCGGCTATTTTGTGTAGATTTTGACCCTGAATTTCAGCTTTTTTGTACATCTGGTCCGTACAACAGTACGGGAACTTTTGACATTTCAGCTTTTTGCTAGCTGTTTTCAGCTTCAATTTGAAGTGGCTACTCACCCCCCCTGCTTTTGTAAATGTTGGGTGACACCCCCCTCCCTGACTGGATCTACCTCTGTATATTGCTTACATCTCTTATCAAATGAACTTAAGAGACGTTCTCTGTGGATACAGAAACAAACAGAAACTGCTTGATGTGTGACGCTGTATTCAGCAGTTGAAAAGACAAGTTTATTGATTCAGTCCATGTACATATAACTTATGATTTATATCTGCAATATTACATTTCTGTAATACTGAACTTCTGCTTGAAAATTTATATTAGCTTCTAATAGTTG